GATTATGACTGCTGAGTTGGCTTCAATTATTATAAATGAGTTACCTGATTTATATCTATTGTTGTTGTTGTTACTAATATTGCATACAGGTAATGTAAGTGACCCGCCTTAGCCTCGTAACTACTTCGTCGAGGTTAGTCTCAGTACTTACCAATATATGGGGTCGATTGTACTGATACTCCACTCTGTACCTCTTGTGCAGATTTCGGAGTTGGTCCCAGCGGTGTGCCATAGACTTGCTCGGATTGCAGCTACTCGGAGGAGACTTGAGGTATAACTGCATGGCGTCCGTAGTTCTGAAGTCCCCGTCTATTTTACTTTAGCTGTGTGTTTATTTTCAGACAACTTTATTTTATTCAGACCTTTATTTGTATTATTATAGAAACTCGTGCACTTGTGACACAAATTCTGGGATGATATTTAGACACCGTTGTTCTTATGGATTATTCACTACATTTCAGACTTTACTTCCGCATTTGTTCTTTGATTATTAATAAATTTAAAAATTGTTCTAAAAGTAGATAATATTATTATAACTTTGGCTTGCCTAGAAAGTAAAATGTTAGGCGCCATCACGGTCCGAAGGTGAGAATTTCGGGTCGTGACAGTTATGCTCTTCTGACTAGGACGAAGGCAGTTGCATCAGACTCAGTTATCACAAGTATTGTTCTGGTTTGTCATAGAGATGCATCAGTCTTATTTGATCCAAGCTCCGCTTATTCATATGTATCATCTTACTTTGCTCCGTATTTGGGTATATCCCATGAATCTTTGAGTTCTCCTATTTATGTTTCCGCGCCTGTGGGAGATTCTATTGTTGTCGACAGTGTGTATCGGTTGTGTTTAGTTGTTCTTGGTAGTTTTGAGTTCAGAGTTGATATATTGTTGCTCAGTATGGTAGACTTTGATGTTATCTTGGGCATGGACTGGTTGTCACCCTATCATACTATTCTTGATTGTCACGCCAAGACGGTGATGTTGGCTATGCCAGGTTTGCCACAGTTGGAGTGGAGGGGTACTTTGGATTATGTTTCTAGCAGGGTGGTCTCTTTCCTTAAGGCACAACGGATGGTTGGGAAGGGGTGTGAGGCATATCTAGCCTTTGTGAGAGATGTCAATGTTGATACTCCTACCGTTGAGTCAGTTCCGGTAGTGAGGGACTATCCAGATGTATTTCCGGCGTATGCTTCTGCCGCCCGATAGGGATATCGATTTTGGTATTGACTTGTTGCCGAGCACTCAGCCCATTTCTATTCCACCATATTATATGGCCCCAGCGGAGTTGAGAAGTTAAAGGAGCAATTTCAAGAGTTGCTTGATAAGGGTTTCATTCGGCCCAGTGTGTCACCTTGGGGTGCTCCGGTCTTGTTTGTAAAGAAGAAAGATAGTTCTATGTGTATGTGTATTGATTATCAATAGTTGAAAAAGGTTACAGTGAAGAACATGTATCTATTGCCATGCATTGATGACCTATTTGATCAGCTATACAGTTCCAGGGTGTTCTCCAAGATTGATTTGCGGTTAGGCTATCATTAGCTAAAGATTTGGGATTCGGATATTCTGAAGACTGCTTTTAGGACTCGGTATGGTCACTACGAGTTCCTCGTGATGTAATTCGGGCTGACCAATGCCCCAACAACATTTATGCACTTCATGAACAGTGTATTCCAACCCTATCTTGACTCATTCGTTATTGTGTCTATTAACGACATCTTGTTGTACTCCTGGAGCCGGGGGTCATGAGCAGCATTTGAGGATTATGATCTAGACCTTGAGGTAAAAGAAGTTGTAAACAAAATTTTCAAAGTATGAATTCTGGCTTGATTCGGTGGCATTTTTGGGTCATATGGTGTCGAGTGAGGGGATCAAGGTAGATCCGAAGAAGATTGAGGCAGTGCAGAGTTGGCCCAGACCGTCTTCAGCCACTAAGATCCGGAGTTTTCTTGGTTTGATAGGGAATTACTGCCGTTTCATAGAGGGTTTCTCATCTATTGCTTCTCCTATGACCAGATTGAACCAGAAAGGTGCTCCGTTCAGATGGACCGAGGAGTGTGAGGAGATCTTCCAAAAGCTCAAGACTACTTTGACTTTAGTCTCAATGTTGGTATTGCCTATGGGTTCGGGGTCTTACACTGTATACTGTGATGCGTCACGTGTTGGCCTCGGCACGGTGTTGATGCAAGATGGTAGGGTGATTACCTACGCATCTAGATAACTGAAGGTGCATGAGAAGAATTATCATGTCCATGACCTAGAGTTAGCAACTATTGTTCATGCCTTGAAGATTCGGCGGAACTATTTGTACGGTGTCCTTTGTGAGGTCTATACCGACCATCGGAGCCTACAATATTTGTTCAAATAGAAGGATCTTAACTTGCAGCAACGGAGATGGTTAGAGTTGCTTAAGGACTATGATATCACCATTCTGTATCATCCCGGAAAAGTCAATGCACTATTTGTACGGTGTCCCTTGTGAGGTCTATACCAAACATCGGATTCTATAACATCTGTTCAAATAGAATGATCTTAACTTGCAGCAACGGAGATGGTTGGAGTTGCTTAAGGACTATGATATCACCATTCTGTATCATCCCAGGAAGGCCAATGTCACGCCCCAAAATGGATTGCAATGTGGCCTACACCCAGTGCCTACCCGCTTGCACCGAGCGAACCATTGTAGCTTAATACTTACCTCAACTCATAATCGTGTAGCTCAATCCATTTAATAAATTATAATATTAGACGAGAGAAATGAGATAAACTTCAATAACAATAAATGTTCATAGCGTAATTTGGACATAAGTAAAATGTCATCCGCGATGCCATGTGAGTACCCACTGCCCAAAATAATACACATACTTTATGGAGCCTCTATGACGCAACGAATGGAATAATAAAGTTGCAGGGCTAGCCCGCACTATTCAAAAATATACAACTGAAACAAAGTGGCCCCACGAGTGCAAAGGTGAGCTCACCAAAAACAAGAAAAGAAGCTGCAGGAACTCTAGCCTGTGCGCTGACCATCATGCACCCGACCGTCTGCTAAACCTGATATTATTTAAACAAACGATGCCTGAGTATTAAAATAATTAGATATGTGTCAACCACCACTCGTGGTGGAGAAAGAATTATATAGATAATCATATGTAACAAAATAAATGAGATCAATAATTTCAAGTAAGATGTATAAATTATGTAAAGTACATAGAATCACACCAAGGGATTTAAATTTGCAAGACAAGAAATCTATTTCTTATGTGTCAGGCATCTTATTATAACTATTGTTCTCATTATCTTGTGTCTCAATATCAATGGCACCCATAGTGCTGGAATACATTGGGATGCCATCCACGAAGACTGTCGTACCATCCCCGAACAATTAGGCTAATGTATACAGTCAAGGATCCAAGAGGTTGTCGTACCACTCCCGCACACTATATATATATATATATATAGAATCGTGTCCATAGACCAAGAAATATTTTATTATATAATACATCAAAGATATAAGAAGGCTGTCATATCATTCCCGCACAGCTAGACAATAGGTGTTAGTCGCTATAGATATTATTCCAAGTAATAGCGTTTTAACTTTAATTTTATGTAATGTACCAAATAATAAAAAGAAAGGAACACAACAATATATGCAGAAGCATGTCACGGATTATATAAATCTATATGGATCAAGAATATCATACCGATAGTGTAGGGCATCACTCAATAGCATAATATATGAATAGTAATTTTAGATATCTTCATGTAATTTGAGATTTCGTCATATAAGTGATTTTATTCGTTTAGTTCCAACAAAGATTAAATCATGCGAGCTTGTCCCGCACATGCAAGGAATATCATCAAGTTACCAAAATAAATAAATAAATAAATCACACATTAGTTAGTTTTCTTTTCTTATTCTTTTTTTTGAAAACACACAAAAAGCTAGAAGCTCGACATACCTCGATATTCCGCTAAGTTAGTTAAAAGTCGCACCGGTTGTTCCAACAATATTCAACAAATTCAATCTACATATATGAGCTCATATTAATTAATAAAATATCCCAACAATATCAATTTAATATATATATATATATATATATANCGGTGATATCATGCTCAATAGCTTTAAGAACCTCAACAATGGTAATACTACGCTCATTCGAGTTAATAAAGTCCAATATTTAAATTCCAACGACACTATTCATCACCCCTTCCACCAAACCACCAAAACCATTAACAACAAACTAGTGTTACACATTTATGGTCTTCAACAACCAACCAACTCAAATACTATCTTTCACAACCATCACTACTCATAAATAACTCATACTTATCATCCACAAGTGTAAAAATTACCTTCTAGAAGAAACCCCCAAAAATCAACTTTAGGGATTTTTGAAGACACTTAGTATTCTTATTGAATCTACTCAATTTAAAGAGGTAACAATGTTAATATAGATGCTAATATCTCTAACTAATACGAAATTTTGGACAAAAACTTACCTTCACTGGTATAGGAGTCGTCTTGGCCGAGAGCTTCTTGAGGAGTCACACTAACTATTTTGTTTGGTTTTGTAATGTAAACTTATCGTGTATAGCAATACAAGGGAGGTTTATCCCATGTTCACTATTTACTCCTTTGTCTTGGACCCATTTAGTGGGAAAGAATATTTTCATTTAAAGGTCCCATTTCATGACTAAGAATAAACATATACATAGAAGCTATAATTTGGACATTAAGTGCATATTCACGCCAACTTCTTTTCGTTATCTTTTTTTTTCCATCTCATATTTTGAACATAATTAAACATTCATATATATGTATTAACATTTCCAATATATTTTCCTAATCCCTCATTGTCATTGGTACACAAAATAATATTTTCTATACTCATAATCACGATTAAAGTATTAAACTAAATTCGAATATTTTCAAAGCGCTACAACCAATGTAGTGGCCGATGCTTTGAGTTAAAATGTGGAGAGCTTGGGCAGTTTAGCATATCTACCAGCAATGGACAGGGCATTAGTATTGGATGTTCAGGCCTTGGCTAACTAGTTAGTTAGATTGGATGTTTCGGAGCCGAGTCAAGTTCTGGCTTGCGTGGTTTCTAGGTCTTCTCTATATGATCGTATCAAAGAGCGTCAGTATGATGACCCCATTTGCTTTTCCTCAAAGACACGATTCAGCACGGCGATGCTAAAGAGGTCACTACTGGGGATGACAGTGTATTGCGAATGCAGGGCCGACTATGTATGCCCAATGTGGATGGTTTGCGTGAGTTGATTCTTCAGGAGACCCACAGTTTACGGTACTTCATTCATCCGTGTGTCGCCAAGATGTATCAGGACTTGAGGTAGCACTATTGTGGAGGATGATGCAGAAAGACATCGTAGAGTAGGTAGCTTGGTGCCTAAATTGTCAACAAGTGAAGTATGCGCATCAACGTCCAGGTGGGTTGCTGCAGAGGCTAGAGATTCCCGAGTGGAAATGGTAGCGAGTTACCATGGACTTCGTTGTTGGGCTCCCACAGACTCAAAAGAAGTTTGATAATGTATGTGTGATTAGGGATAGGTTGATCAAGTCACCTCATTTCATTCCGATAGTGACTACTTATTCTTCAGAGCAGCTAGCTCAGGTATACATTTGCGAGATTGTACGACTTCACGGCATGCCAGTATCTATCATCTCTGACCGGGGTACGCTGTTTACATCGCGATTCTGAAAGGCCGTACAATGTGAGCTAGGGACACGGGTTGAGTTGAGTATAGCAATTCACCCTTAGATAGACGGACAATCCGAGTGCACTATTCCGATATTAGAGAATATGCTTCATGCATGTGTTATGGAGTTCTGATCTTGCCGCTTGTGGAGTTTTCCTACAACAACAGCTACCAGTTGAGTATTCAGATGGCTCTGTATGAGTCCTTGTATGTGAGGTAGTGACTGTCTCCGGTGGTTTATTTTGAGTATATGACCAGTCGAGGAGATGACTTGGGAGACCGAGCATGATATGCGTAGCCGTTATCCCATCTATTCACCACTTCAGGTATGTCCCTATACTCGTTCGAGGACGAATGTTTATTTTAAGAGGGGGAGGATGTAACGACCCGGCCGGTCATTTTGAATATTTTAGCCTCGATCCCCTATTTATTGCATCCTCTATGTTGTATTGTGATTATGTGACTTGCCATGGGTGTTTGGTTTTGGTTCGGGTGAGTTCCGGAGTGAAATGGGACACATAGTCCCAAAGTTGGAGGCTTAAGTTGTAAGAGCTAACCATAGTTTAACTTTTGAGTACACGACTCCGGAATGGAGTTTTATCGATTCCAATAGCCCCCGTATGGTGATTTTTGACTTAGGAGCATGTCTGGATGTTGATTTGGAGGTCTGTAGGTCGTTTCATCTTGAATTGGAGAAAGTTAAAAAGTTGAAGGTTTGGAAGGTTGATAAGTTTGTCCGGGAGTTGACTTTATTGAGACCGGGGTCGGATTCTGATTTCAGAAGTTGGAGTAGGTCCGTCATGTCATTTATGACTTGTGTGCAAACTTTGAGGTCAGTCTGAGTTTTTTGGTATAATTCAGCGTTAGTTTTGGAAGTCGGATGCTTATAGTTTCAATAGGATTGAATTTGGTTGCGATTCCTCTAATCTATATTGTTTGATGTGATTTTTGGCCTCGGGTATTTTGGAACTTGTTGGTATATTTATACGGGGTCCCGGGTGCCCCGGGTGTGATTCAGATTGAATCTGGAATAATTTTGGGACTTAAGGGAATGTTGAACCTGCTGTGTCTGGTGCAATCGCACCTGCACACTTTGTCCCGCAGGTGCGGCACCGCAGAAGTGGCCCTCGAGCCGCAGAAGCAAAGGTGAGCCTGGCCAGCTAACACCGCAGATACGGTCAGTGGCGCGTAGAAGCGGCCTGTCTTCCACAGATGTGCTTAGGGGTTCCGTAGGTGTGAGTCTTCAGAGCCTTAGTTGGAACCGCACCTGCGATGGATTTTTTGCAGTTGCGACCATATGCCCGCATATGCAAAATCGTTGGGCAGAAAAAAACGTTCTTCGAGGGTTTATTTTATTTTTTATATTTTGGACCTAGAGAGCTCGGTTTGTGGCAATCTTTCGAGGGATTTTCAAGAAAATTATCGGGGTAAGTGATTCTAACCCAAAATTGACTATATTACATGAATCCATTGCTATTTTCATCATTTAATTAGTGATTTGAGTTGGAAAATTGGGAAACAATTATGAAAACTTCTTAGACTAAATTTTGGGGATTTGGAAGGCGATTTGAAGTTGGATTTGAGTAATTCTTTTATGGTTGGACTTATTATCAAATGAGTGTTCGGATTTTATAATTTTGGCCGGGTTCCGAGATGCGAGCCCGGGGTTGACTTTTTGAGTTGACTTTTTATTTGTCTTTAAAGATAGTAACCTTATTGTTCTGAATAACTTCCTATAGTTTATATTTATGGTATAAAGTTGTGTTGGCTAGATTCGAGCCGTTCAGAGTTGGATAATCGAGGAAAGGTTTGTACCTAATACCTGCCACTAGGACCAAGCAAACCTCTATGACATAATAGTCCAATCTATACCTATGCATCTCAATTTATTTTATTAACCACAATATTAAATGAATTGTCACGATCCAAAATTCCTCCGAAGAAGTCATGATGGCATCTAGTCTCTAAGACTAAGTAAGCCTAACACATATCGAAATAATAACAGATTTCTACTACACAGCTATTAAACATGAACTAGAAATTTCTATATAAAGCCAACAATCCCAAGATAGATATATAATATCCCAAAACTAGTAGTTCAAGTCATAAGCTCTATTGAGTTCACCAGAAAAATTCTAAGTACAACCGTTCCGGAATAGAAATAAACTATATAAAATAACTTCAGAAGGCAACTCCGAGACCTTCGAACACAACGGCAGGTATACCTTGAAGTCTCCACCATAATGCCCGATCAGCTAGCTAACGATCAACAAACTCCGAAGTACCTAGATCTGCAGAAAAATGTACAGAAGCGTAGCATAAGTATACCACACTAATACCGAGTAAGTATCAAGACTAACCTCGGTGAATTAGTGACGAGGAATAGTCAAGACACCTACTGGACATAATAACCTGTACAAGTATGAATGTAAAACTAATAGGGAACAATATAAATATAAAACTAAGCTTGGTAGTAATATTAAAACAATATTTGCAATAGAAAACAAGAGGCAACAATTAGCAACAAGGCACAACAAGTAATAACGCCGTAGATTAAGCTGAATACAATTTATGTCCGGAGAAACTAAGTAAGGAAAACATGTAACAACTCAATGAGAACAGTCGCTTTCACACAAGATTTATTCAAGAATTTCTCCAAGGTACCACACCTCATAATCACAAATCACGTGTCTCAATTCACAAACCCTATTCACTTGGCATCTTGTGCCCACATTATGAATCACAACCGCACAGATCACTCACATGTTGTACGGACAACTCACGTGCCAATACCATTAATACCTCATATCTGCATGGACAACACACGTGCTAAGAGTGTTACAATATCTCATATCCGTACGGACAACTCACATGCCAGGAATAACAATAACTCATAACCGCATAGATAAATCACGTGCCAACAATAACAATAACTCATAACCGCACGGACAACTCACCTGCCAATAGTACAACTCTCACACAGAAGGAAAGTAAATGAGAATACATGTAAATGATCAATAAACATCAGGATTCATCTTCTCAAACTAATATGAGTGATTTATTACATGTATGCATGTGCAAGAGTTCTATCACAACTCGAGTCAACAAGTAAGAGAAGAGACAACAAGTGTCACATAATAAATAACATAACGAAACGTAAAATGCATAGCTCACACAAGGTAGGCACACCACTGCACAAATATCATCAATAACAACGCCCCCAGGCCATCACAAATTATTACAAATTATCCCCGACATAGTCCCCTTGTCTCGCTACGTGCGCAAAAATAAAGTAAATGCCCGCCTTGTCTCGCTGCATACGCATCATAATATTCCCGCCTTGTCTCGCTACATGCGCAAACCCACATATATAGCCTGCCTTGTCATGCCGCATGTGCAACATCAATAATAATAATAGCACGGACAACTCACATGCGAACACCCCGACAATCTTTTCAACCATATCACGTGTGCCAAAAACATAACAATATAATATAACAACTCACACCACATGTGCTCATATGCCACAACATTTCCTCAAAATAATTCCAATACCACAACCACACATAGCCCTCGACTCAACAACACTGAGTACAACAACAACAACAATAACACGAGAGTATGACAAGTAAATCAACACAATAATTACAAAACATAAAAAAATGGAAAAACGAGCTCATAATGAAAGACATGACAAGTAACAGGCACTAAAGTCTCCATAAGTCACGGGGTAGCAACAGGCGCCTCTGGTGCCTGTCCCCCAATCGGATCTATTGGTGGCTCCTCAGCTACTGCTTTGGCAGGTGTTGTAGCACGTGTTCCTCCTCGTTCTCTGCCTCTACCGCTGCCCCGACCCCTAGCAGCACCATCTCTGGGATAGAGTCATCAGTAACTGCAGCTCGTGTTCTCAC